CTACTACCTACTACTACCTACTACTACCTACTACTACCTACTACTACCTACTACCTACTACTACCTACTACTACCTACTACTACCTACTACCCTACTACTACCTACTACTACCTACTACCTACTACCTACTACCTACTACTACTACTACTACGACGACGACTACGACTACGCCTACCGCTGCCGCTGCCGCTGCCGCTGCCGCTACCGCTACCGCTACCGCTACCACACCACTACCACTACCACGGCTACAGTACTTTTAGCACTACCATGACGACCCACTTTACTGCCACGACTACTGCAGCTACTACTACTACTACTACTACTGCCACTGCCACTGCCACTGCCACTACCACTACCACTACCACTACCACTACCAGCACCACACCACTACCACTACAACAATCTATGTATATCTATGTAATCTTGACAAAATGGGTTCCATTTATATATATATAGTTTCCAGCCGAACTTTGGTATTATAATTGTATCACAAGGATGAGTTTATAGAGCTGCACATAGGCAACAAAGAAGCATAACTTTCGACTACTAAGCTGTTCTGTCATCAATTGAAGGGAATAGGCAGGTGAACATGATGTAGATGCAAAGTGTGGGACACTATGAATACATAGAGAACCTCAATGCATACGTCATGTCACAGCGTGCATGCAAAAGCAAAGGTGAACTCAGAAGAAAGTAACACTTCATTCCATTGTTTTGAAGTTTAGAAATATGAATACACAAATTCAAAGATGCTGTGATTTGGGAACACAATCAGAATATAAATACCATGAAATACCTATAAACAGACGAACACATGATGGTGCTAGCTCTTGAATGAATTGCAAACACACGACTGTTTGGCCGGTCAGGCCCAAAAACGTGACCATATGTTGTAACCCAAAATGGAAAAAGAGGAATACTTCTCAGTTCTTTGTATGACATTACGTAAATGTTGCGTTGTCAATGTCATTCAGGAGCTCTGGTCTTTATCGTGGAGGCAATTTACGAAGCTCCTCAGACTGAATCCGCTGTGTTGTTTTGCACAGCTTTGAAGGCAGCTACAGATCATGTTCCGACAACAGGGGAGTGCATCACCTTGAGAACTTTCCTTGGCATGGTGTCGATTGAGGTACAATAAAGGTAAAAAGAATTAAGTTCACCGGACTGTCTGAGGGAACAAGCAAATTTGCTCGATGTTTGGCAGATTCTGATGTTTCGAACTTGCAATTCAGAAATTTGCCTTCAATCTTATCCTTCAGATCATCGCATGTGGTTCACAAACAGCTCCAATCTCCTGAGGTGCAGCATCATTGATGGTGCAATGAGAGTTCAGCAAGACACTGTATTTGACTCCAGGCTGATTTCTGTATGACCACACAAACTCGAACAAAAAAGCAGCTTCAATAATGGGAGTCTTCATGGTGTCACTAGATGTCACTAGTATGTCTGCAATGTCCGTTGCTAGTTTAGCCTAACTATGTATAATATATGAGGTCTCCCTTCTGCGCGGGCGTTGTTTCACCGATTGCGGTAGTCATGGTAGTCAATCTGCAAAGCTGAAGTGCAGACGTTCGGCTACAAGTGTCTCACGATCTACCTTGCACATTGATTGCTAGTGCAACGTGAGCGCTTCCTGGTGCAAATGGTGAGCGCGTAGATGTGTACATCCACCAGCAATGAGTTCAAATGGGAACATGATGGCTCATGAGCAGACTTGTATGAACTAGACTTTGTTTGATGATTGGATGATTGTTTTGCTTGCTCAGCGTCAAGTCTCCGGACCAAATTCGAAGTGCCCCTACGAGCCTGAAGGCCATGACGGATTCCGAGTACTCCTTCTCTTTGACCACCTTTGCTCCATCGGGAAAGCTTTTGCAGATCGAGTATGCCCTCAACCGTGTTGCGGAAGGTCGTCCTGCACTGGGCATTAAAGCAAAGAATGGAGTTGTGCTAGCCACTGAGAAGAAAGTCACCAGTCCGCTAGTGGATGAGAAGACATTGTCCAAGGTGGAGAACTTGTCCGACAGCGTTGGGATGGTCTATGCGGGAATGCCAGCAGATTATCGTGTGCTGCTCCGCAGAGGGCGCAAGGTGGCCCAACAATACTACACTACTTACCGAGAGCTCATCCCAGTTTCACAGATTGTGCGTGAAGAGGCTGCTATCATGCAGGAGTTTACGCAGTCAGGTGGTGTGCGCCCCTTTGGGGTTTCATTGATGATTGCTGGCTTTGACGACAGTGGCCCCCAGCTCTTCCAGGTGGACCCATCAGGCACCTACTTCGGCTGGAAAGCTTCGGCCATTGGGAAGAACCACGTCAACGCAAAGTCCTTCCTCGAGAAGCGATACAGTGAGGACATTGAGCTTGAAGACGCCATCCATACAGCCATTCTGACATTGAAAGAAGGCTTTGAGGAAGCGATCACCGCTGACAACATCGAGATTGGCATCGTTGGTACGGACAGGAAGTTTCGTGTCTTGACACCTGCAGAAGTGCAAGATTACCTTGGAGAAGTGGAGTAGACAAGGATTCATGGTGTCTAGTTTCAAACAGGATTTAGGCACTTTGGCAACGTATGTAGTGTGTATGAAGCTTCCAGCTCATCATGTGAGGCAGTGATTGAAAGCCACAGCTTTGGGCTGAAAAGATGCACGGGTATTGCAGATATTTTTGAGACTCAGTACTCAGTGTTTGATTGTTTTAGTTTTGTGACTTATGACGCATTGATATTGGCATTGTTTGTGCGTTTGAGAGACAGCTTTGGCCCTTGAGTGAAGTGACTGCATGCGAGATTCTGCAAGCCATTGCAAAAATTACAAAAAATGCTGTGTATGTAGGCAGCAATCCTATTGGCAACTTGGTTAGACTCGGTTAGACCTATGCCAATCGTGGATACACCAACTAGACCAGCCCAGGGTGTATTTGACGGTTTTCCAATGGCTTTTTGACTCATTTTGCGACCTCGCAATGCTCCAAGCAGCCTCAAGCTTAAATTGCCGAACTCCCTTGGGCTTAGATGATTTCAATTGATTTCAGTATGGCATAGTTGCATTTTTGTTTCGAAGTAAGCATGGATTAAGGAGGCCAGATCTACAAACTGGCTAACATAATGTGGTCGTATTTCATTCTCTCATGTTCGTTTGGCAAGTTTCTTTGATGACCCCAAGCACGTTCTTGAGCATGCCTTTGGGTGAGTGCCAAGGTATCCAAGCGATTTCCGCCGCTGTATCATGCCGTTCTTGCTTCCAAGGCTGTACTTGTCAGACTAGTTGCGTGAGACTAGTCAACTGTCAGAGGGGAGGTACAGAAGGAATTATGGACTTGCAAGGCCAAGTTATATCAGTTACATCTTTAGATTCCAACTTCCAGCATATTCAAAGTAGACATATTGACATAATGTATTATGATGCGTTTACATGTGTGTTTCCACAATCTTTCCGTTCTGAATCCAAGATTCGGAGGTCAACCACGGGCCTGTGCGCATTGATGTTCGCGGGGTGGCCAGAATTCGCATCAATCGCAGCTAGTCAGAATAGGCGTTGTTATGTTGTTCGTTCTTGTTCCCCATTCCCTGAGATTAACTTTTGCTGGGCTACCATGCATCTCTTTCATGCCTCGTGCGTCACGATGCGAGAGCCAGAAACATTATAAATATATAGATTGTGAACCATCGGTGTTGCATTGTGTTGACCGCAGCTTGATCAAGCCCCTTTGTGGAAAAAGACTGTGTCTTCGGGCAGCGCCACTTTTTGCTTGAGACCATTTACTCCGCATTGGTAGCAGAGCGGAGTGACCCTGAGACCGGGTCAAGGCCAGGATGGCCGCAAAGCCGACCAAGGGAAGGGGCGCCAAGGATGCGGACGGCTTTACCTCACCTCTTCAAGAACACTTGCCGAAGGAGCATGCAAAGGCTGCTGGAAAAGGACAAAGACAGGATGCAGGCAAAGATAAGAAAAAGTAAACACCAAGCAGGACGCCAAATGAGGTGCTCAACCACGGATGGATCATGGCACTCAGCAGGCGAAAGGAACCGGTGCGACCTGTTCGGCATCGGCGTTGGACCAGGTCTCGGCTCCGGGATAGCGGGATTGAGGCCCCAGGCCAAGAACAAGTACCAGTAGAAGACCAATATACAAGCCCACGGAGAAACTGAAGGGCAAAGAGTCCCGAACAAACACTCCAACATCTCCTTCGGCACCTAGCACGGATGTGAAGAAAGAGGGAGAATACCAAGTCGAGCAGGCGTGAGAAGGAGCCCCCAAAGCCAGCGGCCAAGAAGTCCTATCCGGTCACCAGAGTGACCGTGCGATGGGAGCGACGCCTATTCAGACGAGGACGAGAGTGAAGAAGAGGAGGCACAAGAGACTGGTCCTTGCGCCACAGTTCAGTAGCCCGCGTTGCGTTGTCCATTGTCAGCCACTGGAAATGGGGATCTTGATTATCTCCAATGATAGCCCTCGCCCGCGTGCAAGCTGAGTGGTCCAAGACAAGACCTTCTTCTTCTGGGGTTTTCTGGGCCCTCAGCGCACTTTGCGCTGCAAGCCATTGAAGGGTCGTTGCAGGGCTGTTGCTCCTCAAACGTGCAAGACCAGGACATCGCAGACCCTCGCAAGTAAACGGGGCTTCGCGATAAGCGGTGCTAAGTGCTGAGGGCGTTTGGAACATTCCCACGGGCGCTTTGAAAATGCCTTGGCACTGCAGCGTTCTCTTGCTTTCGGAGCTGCTTGACCACCTTGTTGCGAATCCACTGTTTCCACCTTTTATTGAGTCAGATTTGAAGGGCTCACTTTTCCCGCGGACCCGTTGTTTCTGCGTCCGCAACCGTCCCCGGTAGGGCGCTAAGGGTTGGGGGAAGCTTTTGGAGAGGGTTTCGGATGGAAACGTGACGTGTCAGACTCGCGTGAAATGGCATGGAAATGTGTGGAAATGTAAGATGCTGAAGTTTGCAGGTTCATTTCACTCTGCAGGCACAGCGTTTTGTGAGATCCGCAGTTTTCTGCGCAGCTCCATTGGGGTTAGCGTTTGGAGAGTGTTGTTTTTGGGGTGTTGGAGAAGGTGCATGGGTGTGGCCGGGGCTGGGGAAGCGAGACGGAAGGTGTGCGTGGGTGTGGACGGGGGATAGAAGGAGAGGGGCGCGAGACAGGAGGCGCGTGGGTGTGGACGGGGCTGGGGGAGGAAGGGAGGGCATCCACACCTTCGTCCACGCCCGCGCACCTCCCGTATCGCGCCCCTCCCTGTTCCAGCCACAGCCCTGTCCACGCCCATCTTCCATCCACGACAACGCTTGCTTTGTCTTGCTCTTGCGCGGCACTAGCGACTAAACAAGAACCCAAGCATCGGAGATGCTTTTTGGAAGAAAGAAAGAAAGAAAGAAAGATAGAAACAAAGATAGATAGATAGATACACGCAGGTACTTCTGTCCTTTTGATACGTTGCAAACGTGGCAACCGGTGTATGGATGCGGATTTGTTGGCTGTCTGTGAGGTAACACTGGAGTGAAGGCGGTGAAGATGAGCCCTCCAAAGACAGAGTGGCAGGCAGGCGGACAAAAACTTGCAAACCTTTTGTGGACCTGCGACTTTGGCCGTTCTTGGTACGTTGGATTCCAGTCGCGCCCGTTGAGGCTGCTGCTGAAAAAGAGTTCCTTCAAATGCGCTCTAGGGTCCCCAAGGATGAGTCGCTCGCTGGCATATTGGCAGCGCTTGAACAGGTACGAAGTAGCCCTGTTTTTTCAAGAACATGGGCGCAAGGATTGGGGCTGCTAGTAAGGCTAGTACGGGGCGTCAACCTGCATCAAGAAAAATGAAAAGGTGAATAGCACGCACGCATTGCAATTTAAAATGTTGCGTCTACCCCCGCCGCTTCTTATCTATTTTCTTTTCTGAGTTCCATACCTCCGGGAATTGTACACAACAAGGTCCTAGGTTGAAATTTGTCAGGCAAGGGTATCATGTGAGAGAGGGAGAAAAGTTCATCCAGCACTCCCCGATACCGCATCTCACCGCACAAGCAAAGTTAAGACGTGCCCGTGGCCCAAGTATATAGCGGTAGGATTCATTTTGTCGGCGGTGGCAGTAGCGGCAGCGGTCGCAATCGCAGTAGCAACTCGCTGTTGTAGTACAGTGGTAGTAGCGGCAGTAGCATCATAGTAGTAGTAGTAGTAGTAGTAGTAGTAGTAGGAGTGGGAGTGGGAGTGGGAGTGGGAGTGGTAGTAGTCGTAGTCGTAGTGGTAGCGGTAGTAGTAGTAGTAGTAGTAGTAGTGGTAGTAGTAGTAGTAGTGGTAGTGGTAGTGGTAGTGGTAGCGGTAGCGGTAGGGGTAGTGGTGGTAGTGGTAGTGGTAGTGGTAGTGGCAGTAGGAGAAGAAGGCGTCGTAGTCGTAGTCGTAGTCGTAGTCGTAGTCGTCGTAGTAGTAGTAGTAATAGTAGTAGCAGTAGTGGTAGTAGTAGTAGTAGCAGGCAGCAGTAGCAGTAGCAGTAGCAGCAGCGCCAGCAGGAGCAGGAGGAGGAGTAGTAGTGGTAGTAGTGGTAGTGGTAGTAGCAGCAGTAGTAGTAGTAATGGTAAGAGTAGCAGCAGTAGTAGGAGTAGTAGTAGTAGTAGTAGTTTTAGTAGGTAGTAGGTAGTGGGTAGTGGGTAGTAGGCAGTAGGTAGTAGGCAGTAGGTAGTCGTAGGTTGTAGGTAGTGGGTAGTAGGTAGCAGTTAGCGCGTAGCAGGTGGTACGTAGTAGGTAGTAGGTTGGTAGGTAATAGGTAGTGGGTAGTGGTAGTAGTAGTACTCAACGACAACCTACTAGTAGTACCATTAGTATGAGTAGTAGTAGTCGTCGTCGTCGTCGTAGTAGTAGTGGTAGTCGTCGTCGTCGTCGTCGTCGTAGTAGTAGTAGTAGTGGTAGTAGTAGTAGTAGTAGTGGTAGTCGTAGTAGTAGTAGTGGTACTGGTACTAGTACTCTAGTACTAGTAGTAGTAGAAGTAGTAGTAGTACTACTACTACTGGTGGTAGTAGTAGTAGTGGTAGTAGTAGTAGTAGTAGCAGTGGTGGTTGTAGTCGTAGTCGTAATAGTAGTTTGAGTATATAGTAGTATTAAGTAAAGTAAAGTAAAGTATTGTAAAATAGAGTGAAGTGAAGAAAAGTAAAGCAAAGCAAAGCAAAGTTAAGTTAAGTAAGTAAAGTAAGTAAGCAAGTATGCAAGTAAGCAAGTAAGTAAGTAAGCAAGGAAGCAAGTAAGTAAGCAAGTAAGTAAGTAAGTAAGAATAAGGAAGCAAGGAAGTAAGTAATTCAAGGAAGTAAGTAAGAAAGGAAGTCAATAAGTGAATAATTAGGTGCGTAAGAGGTACGTAAGTAATCAAGTGACTAAGTCAGAAGCAAGTCATTGTAGTAGTAGCCGTAGTGGTAGTAGTAGTAGTAGAAGTAGTGGTAGTAGTGGTAGTAGTAGTAGCAGTAGTAGCGGAAGGAGTAGTAGGAGTAGTAGTAGTCGTCGTCGTCGTGGTGGTGGTGGTTGTTGTTGGCGGCCGTGACTTTTGTTGCTGTTCACTAGTTTTTTCTCTTGTTGCTTGTTGGTGTACCCCCAAGTGAAACAAAAGAAGGTCCCACTGTTGACTCGAAAGACCAGGCCCCACCAACCACAAGTCCCAGAACCACCACGACTTG